CCGTCGTAAAATGTCCGTTTGCTGAAATTACTATCGCCCGAGTGACTCTGCTCGTGATATATAAATATTAATGTCTATAGAAAGAGAAAGAAACGTATAGATAAAGAGAACGTGTGTTTCGATGTTTTATCCTTTGATTCAGAGCTTAGATCCTTGGTTAAAATATAAAATCGCAAATGTAAAAAAATCACTCTCATCACCACGTCACGTAAAAATTATTATAGGTCACCGCCGAAGAGGGAAATTAGCATTCATTTCGTGCTTGATATAACGATATGAAAAACCTGTTATTACACATATAATGATTATTATATACATATATTACGATACAATGTAATATGCACATAGTATAAGTTTATTACTATATTTATTATATGATAACTATGATATGATAATAGTCGTAAAATGAATTTTTTTTCTTGCAAATATGTCTCTTATACAAAGATAATTATTACAATAAATCTGTATATAATACGTGTATATAAATTAATTTATACGAGAAAAATGGTTAATAAATCTATAAGCACATTTATTATGATGCAAATTCGTGTTAGTCCTTTTTCAAATTAAATCTACTTTAGTAATATATTAATCCCTTTCATGAATAATAATTCGCATAGTAGAAAGTTTAAAGATTTATGAAAAATAAGAGATTTAATTGTTATCGATAAAGTATTCTATATAGAGCGCTCAGAGCAAAATTGAATTGGAGCTGATTGACGTTGATACGCTCAACGTTCAGGATGCCACTGCGTTCCATGTCTTCTCGATTATAATTGATTCGTCGACGCGACGCACTCGCGAAAAGACCCGAAAGACGTCGAAGACGTCGACTGCAACGAATCTGGAAAAAAAAAAAAGAGAACACGATGCGACACGTGCCCAAGCAATATCGGATCCAAGTCGTTGGCCCATCGAAGAGCAGCGCGCGAAGAGCAGTGCGATGGGCCGCGGGTAAACCAGCAATCATACAGTGGTCCAATTACCATAAGAAGGGCTCTAATTTCACACAATGCTCCCTTTTTTCTCCCCAGGGCGGAACACGGTTGACCGCGATCGGACGGGTTGCACGTGGCCGAGAAAGGTCGCTCGAGACTCGATCGACTTTCACGATTTCTCAATAAGTTTCTCAATGGCTCTCGAAGGGTCGAGGCTTCTCCCTCCGTCCGACCAATATGACTCCTGTGTGACAAAAATTTGATACGGACGTGCGGAAAGATGAGGTTGTCGAGATTCTCAGTGACGGTGATCAACCTTTCATTAAGTGCGCGGGATCAGAGCCGTACGTGACCTTATTCGCACCTTTTGCCGTATCCTTTGGGGAATAAAACGGCACCTTTCAGTGAGAAGAGTCCGTTCGTCGTAATCGCGGCTTGCAGACACTTCTGACAATAGTATTATATGTTATGGTAATCTTTTGGGTCAAACGTCTTTATTATTCGTTAACATAGGATGCGATAGGCGATGAATTGAAAAATAGGTCGATATATTGAATTGTCTAATTGTAAGTAACAAGTAATTGTAAGTACTGATGATTACAAATGTTTGTATGATTTTTTTAAATGAGAGATGATGATAGTTTACAATGATTACACGCGCGACAGTCTTGAATTATGATTTCCTCTGATACTTTTAAATGTTCAACGCAACGTAAAGATTTATGCTTGTTCACCAATGACATACTAGGTCCGTTTTTTATTCCTGCACTAGATATTGCATTAGAACTCTTTCTCGTTTAAGTTTCACAAGCGTATACTAGTTCATAAATCAGACAGATGTTCACTTTTCATTATTTCTCAACACGCGATGAAATTATCTGCCGTAATTTCGTACATTTTTCATAATTCCAAGCAGTGTCAATGCACAAAACCGCTC